TCAGTGGATTTATCAATCCTCCTGGAGAAAGCTTCCCAGTAACTTCAGATTTCACCTTCAGAATTCTTTAAGTGAGAAATATCCCATTCCACTAAGGTCTTTTTTTCCCTGCTTTTGACATTTTCCCAACAACTTTATCATACATTGTTTTCTGATTAGCAGCAGCAGGGGAGCTCACTGATTTTATTACTCAGAGAGTGAAATGCTAGCCTCTCCTTTATACACTTAGCCCTCTTATTTGACTTAAGAAGCTCTGATAGCACAGTGTCTAAACTATTTGCTTACTATCCAAAAGGTCGGCAGTTTGAACCTGACTGCCACTCTGAGGGATAAAAATAAGACAGTCTGCTTCCAGAAAGATTTACAACCTTGGAAACTCCAGGAAATTCTACTCAGAAGTTCACTGTGAGTTGGAATTAACTTGATGGTGGTGTATTTTTTTTTTTTTTTTCTTATATGACTTAGGTGGGAGAAGTGGAGGTAAAACCTCCTTACCACTAACACTATATTCATCACAATAAGTAGAAAACATTACATTTCTCTTTCTTTCCCCCTCTGTTTTTCTTACATTTTGGTAGAAGATGGAGAATTTTAGGTATTTATTAGAACTATCTAAGCTAATCGAATAAGATCTTTTAAGTCACTGATAGGTTATCTGTCCCTAATGTTTTGTACCAGTCTGTATAATGTGAATGACTTGCCCTGTGATTGTCATCCAGATTTGTATTCTAGCCATCAGTTTTTGGAACAGGAAAAGTCTTATTCAACATCCTTGCCAAAATTTTACCTCAAACCAAAGATCAAAGCTTGGGGCTTATTTTTTCTTAATACATAGAAGAAAATTTGTGGTGCTATGAAAGCAATTTGCTTTCCAAGATATCACACTTCAGGGAGGTTAATGTTATTCTAGGAGTCCTAGTAGTGCAGTGGTTAAAGGGATAGGGCTAACCAAAAGGTTGGTAGTTCAAAACCATCAGAATTTCTCTGCAGGAGAAAGATGTGGCACTCTGCTTCTGTAAATATTTCAGCCCTGGAAATGGTATAGGGCAGTTATACTCTGTCCAAGGTGGTTGATAGGAGTTAGCATCGACTTGAATGCGGTGAATTGTTACTCTGTGTTGATTTGCTTCACTGTCACCTAGATCTCAAGTGCCTAGAATTATAATAATTTTATTTCTTTTGAATTTTTAAGCACCTTGTTGACAGCCCTAGTCACAGTTCTAATGCCTGTAAAGGACAATTTATTCTCAAAGTCCAATAAGAAACTATTGACAAAATTAAGCAAGATGTTGTTGTTATGTGCCATCGAGTCGGACTCGACTCATAGTGACCCCTCCTTGGGTTTCCAAGGCAGTATCACTATGGAAGTAGATTGCCCCATATTCCTTCTGAGGAGTGGCTGGTGGGTTTGAACCTCCAGCCTTCTGGTTAGCAGTCAAGTGCCTTAGGCACCATGCTATCAGAGCTCCCAAACAAGGTAATGAAATGAAATTATTAAAATTTAAAAGAGCACTCTGATTTCTCAGTACAAAACAAATTGTAAGAGTGCATCTATAAAGGCAGCAGGACAGTTAAGTTTCTATTGCAATTGACAGATAAGAGATGTCGATGATTAGGACAAATATGGTTGTAGTGGAGACAGGGAGAAATTATTATGCCATGAATTATTTTAAAGATAATGCTAGCAGAATTTGTTAATAGATTGAATGTGGGTAATGAAAGAAAGGGAGAAATCAATGATGATGTCTAGCTTTCTTTTGGTATGACTCCTTGGGTAGATAGTGGTGCCATTTATTGAATTATAAAGAAGATGGAGGAGAACAAGACCTTGACAACAAAGTAGGGATGAATCAACAATTGCACTTTAGACATGTTTACTTGGATGTCTGTGAGACATGGAAGAAGTGTGAAGTAGACATTTGGACACAGAAGTCTGGGTCCCAGATGATATGTCTGGGCTGAGAGGAAAATGTTGAGGTTGTCAGCACTTAGATATTAGATATAGAGAATGAATGACACTACCTAGGGAATAAGTAGAGAGGTTAGGGGCAACATATAAATAAAGTCTAAATAAACTTGTAGACTGAAAATGGATAAACAGTAAAGTGGAGCTCTGGTGGCGTAGTGTGAACAGTAAAGTAATAGGAGCAAAAGCAGGAGAACCCAAGAAAAGAATTTATTAGATTTGCATTAAGGGAACGATTTCTGATTTTCACAATGGCAATATTGAGGGACTCACAGAAATAAATCACATTTGGAATAGATAGATCAGTGAATAAAAATTGAGGAAGAGAAACAACATGTATTAGTAATACACCCACTCCTTACTAGTCAACATGGTTAAGTTCCAAAGACCAATTCACTATGTGAAATTTGGCATTATATGAAAATAGAAAATGACCATAGCATATCATGAAGTGGAGGATGGCTGCATAATTATATAACTGCTAGATTACATCATGACATAACTGTCAAATTACAACAGTACACAATGGCCCAAACACTAAGAATCATGGTCCAGCCAAGTTGACAAAAAACCTTAACCCTCACAGCCAGCATTACTCTTGCCTTGTACCTCGACATTCTTTACTGCTAAATATACATTGTTAATGTGCATAATAGTCAGATAGCAGTTTTTCACTATTGTCAGAAATGTGAAATGTCTTACAACAAGGTGTTTGATAAGTGAGAAGTGGGTGTATATGTCTTATATTATTTTATGCAAAAAATAGATGATAGTATATGTGGGTATATGAGTGAGTCAAGGAATGATTTTCTGTTGTATGTATTTAACATTTTGTTTATTTATTTTTTATTTGAAATACAGAAGATTTTAAAAGACATAATGTGATGAAAATTAGAAAATGAAAAAGGCTTGATTGCCCTTGGCAGACACAAACTATTATTTATGAGTTGCACTTGCTACTTGGCATCTCTTATCTTTTGGTTAAAATGAATCTCTCTTACTGCTATGCAAGCCCAATAGATGCAATCCAATAATAGAGAAAATAATTGTTATTTCAAGAGAAAAGGAAGTGAATGGTCAAATAGTGGAATCTTTAAGACACAGGTGTATAGACTATCCTGACATACAAGTACTGATTTATCTTTGCAGAGAAGGATCAATTTGCTTCATTTTAATAGCAAGGAATAAAGTGAAAATGTGTGTGAATATAAGAAAGTTTATAAATTTCATTCTAGAAAGATGAAGGAGCTACCAGTCAATTAAATAATTTGATTATTTAAGAGTAAGCTGCCCTGTGTTTTGAGGAGGTTAATGGATCCCATTTTTCTTTAATATTGCTCCTTCATTTTAGTCTTGTGTTGGAACTTCTTTCTGCTAGTATGATGATGTTTAGAAAATTAGAAAATGAGAAAGGCTTGATTGCCCTTGAAAGACACAAAAGATTATTTATGAGTATCACTTGCTACGTAACATCTCTCATCTTCTGGCAAAAATGAATGCCTCTTACTGCTATGCAAGCCAAAAAGCAACCCTCTACTAAGCTATATATCACTTGAGGAGGTAGTTGTAAAAAGCATTTAAGTTAGAATAAAAGAAACTCATTCTAAATCAGATCTATCAAAGAAGAAAAATATTAGTTACAGTATATACCAAAATCAGAAAACCAAACTCACTGCGATCAAATCGATTCTGACTCATAGCAACTTGCAATGGGTTTCCAAGGCTGCAAATCTTTTATGGAAGTAGACTGCCTCTTTCTACTGTGGAGAAGCTTGTGGGTTCAAACCACTGAACTTTTGTTTAACAGCCTTAAGCTTAACCACTACACTACCAGAGCTCTTGCATAAAACCAAGTCCTTCAGATATCATATGACAATAGCATTGACTGTTATACACACACATCCTATTAGTGTGGCTTATGACCTTACAAGGGAGCTCTGGTAGCATAGTGCCTAAGGCACTTGACAGTTAACCAGAAGGCTGGTGGTTCAAACACATTAGCCACTCCTCCGAAGGAAGATTGGGCAATCTACTTCCATAGTGATACCGCCTCGGAAACCCAAGGAGGGATTGCTATGAGTCGTTCCGACTCAACGGCAAACATCAACAACATGACCTTCCAATGTCATTTTATGGAAATAAATGTTATATGGATACTTTACATAGTATCTAGCTTCAGATGCGTAGTAAATGTTGGAAACTAAGAAATATAGGCATAATTTGTATCTTCAAAGAGCTCATACATTTAAAAGAGTGATAATGAAGTCAATTCAGCCACTCCTCGGAAGGAAGGTTGGGCAATCCTACTTCCGTAGTGATACTGCCTCGGAAACCCAAGGAGGGGTCGCTATGAGTCGAGGCCGACTCGACGGCACATAACAACAACAACAATTGCTTATAGTACAGTTCTTCAGTAAGAGTATGTTTAATGTACAGAAGACACACAATATTGAATCTTCCCAGAGAGCTTCCTAGAGGAAATAATCTTAAAGATGGGTTTTGAAAGAGATGTAGAGGTTGAGCAAATGTTAAGAAGCTCTAGAACATTTTAGTAAAAGATAATGATACATCCAAATGTCTAAGATACAAAGGGGAATGAATAGCTAGTAATGAATGGTCATTTAAATTCGAGACAGATGGAATATAATAGATCGATTTCTCTCCAAATCAAATGTATTTGTTGACCATGGCATCAAATATATACATATTTATATTTTCATCACATTTTGATATCAAATGTCTATTAAACAACAATTTCATTAACTACTAGAAAGTGGAAATAGATAATTTAGTGAATATTTTTATATCTTACATCCATGGTCCCAATGCTAACAACATTTAAATATATCAAATTGTTCCAATTTGTATCCTCTGCCAAACTAAGTATACATTTCCAAGATTTAAGTCTATCCTATGTTGGTTTGAAACTTGTAAGGTCTGAAGCTGTGGTGTTAGTGAGCCTCAATTGCTTCTTATATACAATTTTTATATTATTTACAATGGTTGATATGCAACTATTGTTTCTTTTCCCCAGATTTGGCAGTGTGGAGGGTCCTTGGAGATTGTGACCTGCTCACATGTTGGTCATGTTTTTCGGAAAGCGACTCCATACACTTTCCCTGGTGGCACTGGCCATGTTATCAACAAGAACAACAGGAGACTGGCCGAAGTCTGGATGGATGAATTTAAAGATTTCTTCTATATTATATCCCCAGGTAAGCAATTCCGACTTTTTTTCCCCTTATGCTAAATACATGTTTCATTATTGTTGTGACTCTGTTATTTGTTTACCTAAACTTTTGTTCATTACCATCATAGTACAGAAAAACATGTTTGAGAAAGTTAGACTAAGAAATCAATTTTTACCTAAAATGAGAATGACTGTCTCAAAAACCTGAACATTCTTCTTTTCTTTCTTTTGTTCCCAGCATAAATATTATGCTAGAAAAAAACAGAGAAAACAATGCACAGAGAGATCTAAATCTAATTAACACTTATCATTCCATTTAAAAAATATTTATCATGTTTAACAGGGATATTTTCTACCATCTTGTTTCTTTAAATATCCATATAAAACCAAACTCACTGCCGTCGAGACAAACCTGACTCATAGCGACCCCTCCTTGGGTTTCTGAGCTGGTGTCTCTACAGAAGTAGATGGCCCCGTCTTCCTTCCAAGGAGTGACTAGTGGGTTTCAACTGCCAGCCTTCTGATTAGCAGTCAAATGCCTTAGGCACTATGCTACCAGCTATCCAACATAGGAAATGGTTAAAAGACTTCATATAAGATGGAAATTGTGCTAATATTAAAATTTCTGTTTTGAACAGTATTTAGTGATGTAATAAATTGCTCATCAATAAATTTGAGTGAAAGCATATTAAACCCATTGCTTTTGAGGCCATTCCAACTCATAACAACCCCACAGGATAGAGTAGAGCTACCTGTAGTGTTTCCAAAGTCATAATCTTTATGCGAACAGACTGCTACATCTTTCTCATATGGAGAAACTGGTGTGTTCGAATAGCCAACCTTTTGATTAGCAGCTAAGCACTCAACCACTGTACCACCAGGACTCCTTGAAAGCCTAATACAGACCTACACAATATTATCGTATGTTAGTTACAGAGAAGAATAGATATAGCAATACAAGGAAATATAGACTATCACTCGTTGGTGGGATTATAAATAATTTAATTATTTTCTCAATAAATATACAGTACATATTTTTAAAAATTCCAAATCATTAGCAAGGAAAAAAATTAAGTACATAAGGCATTGTGAGAAAATCTTATTACTGGGTAGTGGGATTGTAAATGATTGCATTCTTTCTTTATGATTTTCTAAATTTTCTCTAATATCAATATACTCTTTAAAAAATTCTGAGGCATGAGAAAAAGAAAATTAAACATTTGAGAAGATACAAATAAGAGAAAGACATAGGGCTGCCTTCAAGATCTCAACATAGGCAGAGAAGCTAAAGAATAATTTAATAGAAATTCAACTTTATTGATAACATAATTGAAATGGTCTATTTTTAATATGGTCACCAATGTTATTATTATGTAACCCATTGGAATAACAACAACAATAACAAAGCATGTCTACATTGTCTTTTGTATAGAATAATTGACATGGCTTAGAAAAATCAGCTTGAGTTTAAGCTGACATGCTTTGGTTTCTGAATGTATATGAGGTTATTAAAACTCTTACCAAAGAATATGAACAAAGGAATAAACAGTATGAACTTCCTTATTAAGATCCGCATTGCTATATAGGGAAGAAAAATGAGGACAATGTATATGTAAATGTGTGATTGGAGAAGGGCTTTTTCACACATTTTCAAGCTTCTTCTATGTCAGGAAGCTATTGCCAGGAACACTATTTCACGCATAGATGTATTTCTCTTTACAGAAGAAACTCAGTCCACATGTTCACAGAGTTGAGTTCATCAAGAACATGTAAAATTTCAGCTAGGCAGTGACATTTATATAACCTTTTCATTTACTTTTGATGATACTTTTTGAATTCAAATCAAATACTTGTAGATATATAGACATTCAAATGTGAATAAAGGAGCAATGGAATAAAGAAGTGTGCTATGTGAGATTACATGCAACTTACTTCAAGAAATATAGGCAATAGAGAATGATTGTAGCCATAGGCATTATATTCATCCATAATGGATATTATTTTTAAAAAGTGATGTGTTAGTCTTTTGTATAAATTTCCACTGAGTGAAAAAGTCAGATAAATAGTAGAACCATTCCTCAAACTGTAATGAAATGACAAGCTTTAGCATTTAAAGGGTGAAAAAGAAAGCTTTCTGTCTGAAACTAAATAAAGACTTTATGTTGTTCAGTAAGAACTATTTGTATATCCTAGAAAGTGTAGTTTTTATATTACAATAAATATCATTTGGAAGGTTATTGTTCTTATAAACTGGGCCCATTTAAATCCAGAAAGGTACTTTGGAAAGCAGAAAAGGGACATTTGGGGAATATGCTGAAAATATCTAGGAACTACCTAAGGGACATTCATGCTTATGTATGTCTTAGAGAAAGACAGCATTGCTGAGTGTGGAATTTGCCTTCTATAGTGTGCGTAAAAACGGAGAAACAAAACCACCAAGCAATAAATTGCTTCTCAGTGGAAAAGGAAGAATGGAATTAAACTGAAAACTAGAGCTGGATGCCTAAAAACAATTCTAGCCCTGGGCAAGCTTCAAATCATCCAAAAACAGATGAACTGGGTTGTACTAGTGAAGTCAGGAATCTGTCGTTTTTATGGTGTCAAGCATTTTGTGAGAGGAAAACTGTTTTAGTCATTACTTAGTCTATATCTGTGTTGATAGTTTCTGTAACTCTTGAAATCAAAATATGGATTTCTTTGATTATGCTATAGGCTTGTTGATTTTGTATTTTTCCTCTCTTTGGACAATGGGTGAGTTTTTGAAAAGAAAAGCTGTGTATGCACAGGCAGGAGGCATGCTTACCTGCACACCCACACTTAGAATTGTATCATTTATTATAATGTATATACATGCATTTATGAAAAACTTCATCACCTTCACCAGAAACTCAATAACAATGTTGCTAAGGAAATTGTTATCTTTCTTTCTAGAAGTGCCTCTGTAGCTCCCTTAAATTATTCAACATATTCTGTGAGGAGACTCCCATTTGTTACATTAGAGCTTTTATTATTCAATCTTATTTTCCACTTAGCACAGTTTTTCAATTTTCAATCATTAAGTACTACACCTTTATGAATTGAGTTCTGTCAATGACTTTTCTTTCCTGGTGGTACAATGCCTAAGGTATTTAACTGGGAACCAGGAGGTTGGTGGTTCAAATCCACCAGCCACTCCATGGAAGGAAGATGAGACAAGCTACTTCTGTAAAGATATACTGCCTCGGAAACCCAACAGGGGTCACTATGAGTCAGAATTGACTCGACGGCAGTGAGTTTGGTTTGTCTTTTGGAAGATGGTTTATAAAGTATTACCTACCTGCTTTATTGGTTAACTGCAGGGATACTTCAGCTCTATCATTCTTTCTGGAAAGAATATTTCTTATAGAGCTGATAGCATGGCCAGCTCATCACTGCCACTTACCACATTGCTATATTTGCCTCTGGTGGAGCAGTGCCTAAGGCATTTGTCTTCGAACCAGAAGGTTGGTGGTTCAAACCCACCAGACACTCTGTGGAAGGAAGATGGGGCAATCTACTTCTGTGAAGATTTACTGCCTTAGAAACTCATTGGGGGTTACTATGATTTACAATAGACTCAATTCCAGTAGGTTTGGTTTTGTGGCTTTGTATCTAAAGGAATTCAAAACAGTGTACATCTATTGCCTAGGAATGTTCCTGTCACTTTGTAGTCCTTGGAAATATTTGCTGAATGATTAGAAGAATGTATAAAGAATAAATGAGTGAATAATTTTTTTAACTGTGATTGGGGTAAAAATTTACAGAGAAAATTGATTTTTCTTTCAAACAATTTGTACACATTTTATTTTTTACATTCATTGCAATCCTTACAATGTAACAGCACTCTTCTCACTTCCTCTCTGTCTTTATCATTTCCTTCATCGTTCATTCCTATTGCTTCCTGCCCTCTTAGCTTTATTGCTGAGCAAATGCTGCCCTTTTGATCACTTATGGTTGAATATTCTAATAAGTCCATACCTTCCTGGTTTTATTTTTCACTACATAGGCTGTTCTATCATGAGCTCTGGTGGTATAGTTGGTAAGGCATGTGGCTGCTAATCAGAAGGTTGCTGGTTCAAACCCACTAGCTGCTCTGCGGGAGGAAAATGAGGCAATGTCCCTCTATAAAAGATTTACAGCTATGAGTGACAATCCACTTGATGGCAGTGGGTTTGGTTTTAGATTTGGTTAGGTCTATCATTTGCTGAAATTTGAGCCAGGGAGGTGAGTTCAATTTCCTGCTTGAAGGGTGTCTAAAGGCCATAGTTTCTGGTGTTCCACCAGTCTCTTTTCAGGGCAGTAAACCTGCTCTGTCTTGAGTTTGAGTTTTGTTCCACATATCTCTCCCACTATATCTGGGTCCTGTTGTGATATTTTTAGAATGTTCTGCAATGGCAGACAGTACCATCTAGTTCTGATCTCAGGATCATGGAGGCTGGGGTTCACATGGTCCATTAATCTTTGAACTAATTGTTATCATTATACATTTTATTTTCTTCACACTTCCTTCCTCTGGGTGAGGAGAGACCAATAGTTACACTTTAGATGGCCTCTCACAAGCTTTTAAGACCCCACTCCCTACTCACCAAATATCATTTTTTGAAGGTCACAAGGGCTGAGAGGGGAAAAGAAGGTAAATCTCTAACTAGAGAGTAGAGATGTACTAACTAGAATGAAAGCAAAAACAATATACAATAAGGAGGAGGTCAGAGCAAAGTGATCAAGGCAGAGGAAGGCCCGTGGAAGAGTACAAGAATCATAGGCAACAAAGGTAAATATTGCATATTTTATTGTTATCCTGCAATAACAGTGGTAATAATAATCTATGAGTGAATGCATAGTTAGATACTGAAGCTAAACAGAGGTGGGAAGAGGAACGGGAATATGTGCGCAAATATATGTAGGTTCAACAGAGGATATCTCTACGTATATATTTATATGTGCTGCAAATATATCCATGAATGTAGTAGAGCATACAGGGAACACAGTTATGAAAACTTCCCAGTC